ACCTGACCTTCATTGAAGCCGCTAGCGTTGTTAACAATAGAACGGCTTTTGGTTCCATCTTACATCCAGTTCTATAACTGCTGTTTGCTGTTCGTTCCAACACGCTAACTTGCCTTCGTTACCAATTCTTCGTGTCGGGCTTCTTTGTCTTTTCGCATCGTTGTAAAACTGTTATTTTTTTCATTTCACGAACATTTATTGATTTCAGTTTATTTTCACGAACTATTATGAGGTGTTGATGTTCAGTTTTACATATTATTATTGCCTTCTCTAATTGTTTAACATACCACAAACGTTAATTCACTTTGTGTCATTTATTACAATTTTCTTTTTGGGTTATATCATCTATTGTTACATCTTAATTTAGCTTTCCCAGCATTATTTATCAGCAGAATTTAAATTCCAGACAAAATTTCAATTCCTGCAAAATATGTTCAAGTTATATATTTAGGCAATATTTTTGCTTAAGTGATTTGTAACGAGGTCCAAAGAACTTGTTGTACCTGTTTGCACTCCAATAATTTCATAAATTTTTGAATTTTCCGATGGCAGCCCAAGTTGACGGTAATAAAGGCATTTGCTTTCATAAGCTTTTCGTTAATTAAAGAAAAAATGGCCAAACCTGTTTAATTTCTATCATGAGAGAAGCCAGAGTAAAGTTTTATTGACATAAAAATCCACACATTTGCCCAGGCTCTTTAAACTGTTTTATTTTCGGAAAAGCACCAATTTATGCGTTTACTTCCTGCTGCGTTACTAGAGTAAATGCTTCCTTGGCCAAGTAGAAATTTCTACAGTTCTCATTTGAATACTTCAGGAGTAACAAAATAGTTTTTCAATCACTTATCACTAATAACTTAAATACGGTACAGCTAAATTTGATGTAATAATTTCATTTTTTGGGCATTCCCTGAACCCAAGCCTATTTTACGAATAAAAGTCTGATATCGAAATATTCATTTGACTAACCACAGTAACAAATAATTTTTATACCTAATACCTGCCTTACGTACTCAAATGAAGGAGGCTAACGTGATATTTCTTATATATCTTTCTCTTTGTACACATAGCCCGTCGTCATCGCCATTCATGCTATGGAACAAGGTACTAGAGTCGCCGTTAGTGGAGAAAGGGTTTAATAAATACAATGCTATTTGAGCTATGGAACAAGGTACTAGAGTTGCCGTTAGTAGAGAAAGGGTTTAATAAATATAATGCTATTTGAGCTATGGAACAAGGTACTAGAGTTGCCGTTAGTAGAGAAAGGGTTTAATAAATATAATGTTAGTTGAGCTATGGAACAAGTAACTAGAGTTGCCGTTAGTAGAGTTTAACAAATATATCCATAATTTTATTCATGGAACAACACAATGTGTGGAAACACAATTTTATTGAGTAGGAATACATGTGTCGGTTGATGCGTCGAGATTAATTTTATGCTACTCGAGTGCAAGAGAAAAACTATAACTAGATTCTGTATTCATGTTGCCTAAACTCATGCGTTTCTACTCATGCGTGAGTCATTCTCTGGAACATTGATTCATCAGACGAACGTCGCACGAAGAAGTTCACGGATTTTTCACTGTCAGAACTTGTTGGTCTTTTTGGCCTTGAATACAATCGACCTGTCAGTAATACATTCTCTATAGCCTGACACACTTTTTGTCTGAAATTCATTGTGTGAATAATTTGTAATGCGTCCTCTAAGCGGTACGAGTAGGCGCTATAATCGCGATCTATGTTCGACAGCGAGAGTTGATACTTCGTGGAAGTATCAACTTACTTCGTGGAAGTATCAACTTCCACGAAATTGGAATTATCAACTTCAAATTTCCAAAATTATCGTATCCGAAAATTTTGCTTTGAGAAAAAAGAATGAATGCTGCATCAATTTTTTACAACAGTCGCGCGCTAAGAGTATCTATTCATCAAAGTGCTTTGGATTTATTTAAAAATATATTAAACCACTAACAATAAAATATCAAGTAAAGATAAATAAATGAGTTTATGTTTCATTAGATAGTTTTGCACGAGGAAAATGTAAACTGTAATCACCCGAGCATTATTTCTTTAGGTAGTTTTGTATTTATGTCGTTTCACCCGAGATCCAAGGGTTTTCCCAGATGAATTTTGTACAGATAATTTCAATTGTCAATCAATGTGCAAAGTTGAACGTCACGAGGCGTAAAATTTACATAATATCTACTTAACGCAGTAAGAAAATATAGATAGACTTGGGGAGGGATGCAAGAATTACTTTTTGTTAAATCATTTAATCAGCGAGTTAAGTGAAGTCGACGTTCGCTTCTGTAATATTACGGTTGATCTGACATTGTAATTCATATAAACCTGTGTTATGAATGATTTAAATTCTACTGAAAATTTCTTCTACTTTAATTTTTTGAATCACACTCACAATTGATACAGTTGAAATCTATCACATTTGTTTTAAAACACTGTATGCAAGATGAACAATTTTAGCAAATTAATTCTTGGCCCAAGTCTTTAATGTAAGATGAAAAGTAATTTGAATAAGAGACGACTCATTCTGCTATATGTATTATTGATTTTTTTCGAACAAAGTGATAATTGTATAAAATAGGAATTAGGATGTCGAATTAAATTATTTTTATTTAGTTTGAAAGCTATATACAGCATTATGAATAAAACAGGCCTGATATTATTATAAAGTCCACGGTAAATATTTTCACATTTAATATACATTATGGACTGCGAGGGCAGGTATCTGTGCTACTAATACATTTGCAGGCTTGTTTTTGACTATCATGAAGAATTTATTTATCACGTTGCTACTAAATATCATTTAGATTTCATCTCAAGAATAAACTGTTAGAGAACGGCTCTGGATTATCCTGATACTGAATAGCATGCAATTGTCCTGATTACGAAAGGTATACGATTATGCTGCTATGAACGCCTCATTAATAATAAATTGTGATACGCGTACGAATATTTTCTCACCTTGAGTTTATTGATAACATTACATCCTAACTTTTTTGTTGTGCCTAGCGCTGCAAGCCATGCCTTTACAGCGTTGTTTGGCTAACTTTTCGCACTCAAACTATTTCTTCTTCTAGCCTACAATGTTGTTCCTAATGCCTAAAGACTGTCAGTTAACTAACATTATGTTTTTGCTTAAACATTCCCTTCTTTTTATATCGAGAGAGTATTTGATGGTTTAGTTGATTGAGTGCACATCACGAGAACTTATTTCGTTAATGATTATCTCATATTCCCGCCTAAAAAATATCTAAACTACCACGCGGCAAGTATGTATCAGATTATTCAGTATTTTCTTTCGGCTTTCAAACATACTAGTATTTTTAAACTATTCGTAAATTAGTACTTGGAGGTGTAATAACAAAGAAAGAGTGCAAAACTCGCCTAATAATCTTAATGATGCAAAATATAGAATAGATGACGTTTCCGAGCGTTGCAAGAGTAATCATTTTCTTTGGCTCAGGATGCAGTTGTGATAGATATACATTTTTGTTAGAATATTTTTTTGTAACTGAAAAGGGGATAGTTCCCAGTGAAGACACTCGTCGGGAACGAGGACGTGTTGTTAGGATCACGTCAAAATAACTTCACGGTCACCACTAGATTTTGATTACATTCTTTGTACAAAATCGTTAAATTAAATACTTTAAAAACTTTTCTGACGAGGACTGTGAATGTTTATATATGTTCAAAAGATTTTCGGAGGTCGAAATCGTTCATTAATTTCAAGCTTCGTTACTTTTAAAGTTAGACTGCAATGTATCCAGTCTATTTCAAATTTCCCATTCGTCTGCCTCAACAGATGATGTAAAGAGTGAATCAGAGCAATATTATCATGACGTAATCGTTAACCAAAGCCGTTGTAAAACGGGAAGAAATATACAAGTTAATAACCAGTAGGCTTAACTGAAAATCTATAGAATGAAATGCATTCACCAAATTCACTGATTAAATTCCTAGAACATCATATATGGGTTATTCAGCCCGAAATAAAGTGTGTGAAGGTTTAGAGGTCACCTGGTATCCATGAAACGGTAGAGCGGCAGACGCACATACCACAGCCGGTGTGAAGTGCGAGCTGGGCAGCGCGGCTCATTGGCTGGCAGCGGTGGTGCCATCGACTGCCGTCCAGTACGAGTCAGGGCACCACAACCTGCAGTGCTACGTGACTGTGTCGTGTGAGCCACGTGTGCTGAATAGCTGTGACTTATTCTTCATTTTGGAACGTACAGCATAGATTGGTTTGATATTTTGACTGAATGTTAGAGCAGTGCATGAAGATCGATGGACGGAACAAATAAAATTGATAAAATTATGAACCTTATTGTTCTATCAGGGTTCAATAACATGCAGGGTGAAATGTTTATTTATCGAACTTATATATTACATTATATCCTCACACTTATTCGTAAGGACCACAAAATTATAAAAACAACCAAATAGCTCTTGTAGTTATAGTGAGGGTTTATTACATATAATCACAGCTTCTATACTCGTATGAGCATTCCGATGTCTTATTGATTCTTTTACTTCGGCGAACGCCACCGGTACCGTGTCACTTAATATGACCTGAGTGCTACCATTCCCGTCATTGCTTCTTCTATACGTGATGAGGTTTTTGTATTCAGTGCTCCACTCTTAGCTTTGTATTCGTCGAGAAACGTTGTTTTTTATGGACAAATAGAATGGAGTTATGTGAACTGTTTCTTCTGAGAATTACGAACGGACAAATTATTGAATAAAAAACTTTATGCATACCAAGTTAATAAAGTTAGGTACCTGGCTTAGATATCTTAAGTTACTGTAAAATGGTATTTAGCAATTCTAGTTAGTTTCAGAAATTCTAGGTTATTTTACCAGGATATTATGTGTCAGTGTCAGTGGGTTTCTATTTGTTCAGATGTATAGCTAGTTTATTTCCTTGGCTCTATACATGATCTGTACTGTTAAAAATTAATTTAAAATTTTAATTTGTTCGACAGAATACTATATTTGACAGTTTTCTATCTTGCATAGTGAACGAGATTCAAGCATTGGGTTCATGGTCAAAAATACCCAATGAAATAACTTAACGCCATGGATTTAGCAGTGCATGATCGCCCAACTTCCCTAACATCCTTGAGGACGCTGGATCACACCACGATGCCCGGTGGTGCAGAAGCCACAATTATACAAGCTGAAGGGAGAAAAGGCCGCCGTAACCGCGTGCGCCGCAACATTTCAGTTCCTCCGCCGCTGCCAGAAAGCAGGGCCGGTAATCCACGAGGCCGGCGTAAAGACCCAAACAAGCCGGACAGCAGCACGATTCGTGGCAACAACTTTCAAAAAAGACTGGAGGAGCGACGCGAAGCTCGTCGCAGGCAAAAAGAAGAGGAGGCGGCAAGGAAAGCAGCTGAAGCTGCGAACGAACCAACCGAAGAATCTGTGGTGGATTTGGATGTTGATCCCCTCAAAGGACGAGTTGGATCTGCTGAGAGCACTGACGAGGGTATACACAGCACCGTCGACAATGACGAAGAAAGGGTTGATCCTACTGCCGATGAAGATGAAGTGGCCGACGAAGAAAAAGACCCTGAAAATGGAAATGACCCAATGGATGAAATTGACGAAGGCCGAGGAAGTATCGGCGAAACCGATGGCACTATTGTGGATGATACTGACGAAAATAAAATAACAGATGATTTGGCTGCAGACTTGAATGATGAAGATTCTCCTGAAGCTGCCGCTGAAGAAGAACTTGCCGAAGAAGGCGCTCCAGCTGACGAAGAAGGGGAAGCTGAAGTTGAAGCTGAGGAGGAAACAGATGAAGCAGATGTAGCGGTTGAAAATGAAGCTGAAATAGAAATAACTGGAGAAGAAGGAGATGACGAAACGGAAGCTGCTGTTGAAAATGAAGAAGCTGGTGCTGAGATTGACGGAGAAGATGAGGCGGGAGCTGCACTTGAAAATGAAGAAGCTGGTGCTGAGGCTGAAGGAGAAGATGAGGCGGTAGCTGCCGTTGAAAACGAAGAAGCTGATGCTGAGGTTGATGGCGAAGCTCTAGATGATGGAGGAGTCGAAGCCGAAGCTGAAGCGAAAGATGATTCAACAGCTGAAGGCGAAGAACCTGAAGGAGAAAATACCATTGAAGAGGCGGGCTCAACAGAAGTTAAAGAAAACTCGGGCGACGCGAAACCGAAGTTGGGGCAGGGTGGCGTCCGTTCATTTCTGAGGAATCAAAATACTGGTCAACGCATATCTATATTTCAACGCCAGGGTGTCGGACCAGTTTCACAGAGGAACGCTGCTCCACAAGCCAAGTCATCGCTTGCAGGAGAAAGAAAAAGACGAGTCAAACATCAGAGGAAAAATGTTTCTGATTCTGGGAATGCTGGCATAGACGTTGATACGGCGCCAAATATTAACTTCGCCAGTACTGGAGGAAGTTCTGCAGACAAATTTAATTCAGTGACAAACAGAAAATACGTTCATCCTGTCGAAAAACGTGTGCAGGATTTCCTTTCCGAATCAAAAGACGAATTACATTTAAGGCGACCTAAAGCTCCACACAAGAGAGTTCAATTGCCGGCTGAGGAGCCTACGCCGCTCGTCGAAGAACCCGATAAAGAAGCAGACGAAGCTGGGACAGAGGTTTGGGTGCCAGACGAAGATAAAGTCTACGTCTACATGCACAGCTCAAAACCTCGAGTATTACAAATGAAAACTGGAGGATCCCAGCGAGTAGCAACACTCAGTCATTGGGACAACGATCCAAATTCGTCGTTTCGTCTTAATTTAAGGTAAGATTATTTCATCGATCCAAATTAAACTTTTCGACCGCGTGATTGCAGGATGTTGCTAATTTGTAGAACGATCCCAGTTATTTCAACTGCCGTCAAGTGAATAATAGCATTTTGCCCCTTCCTGTTTGGTAAAATAATTATCAAAACATTTCGAATATTTTTCATCTTACTTTCATGTAATAATTAAAGATGTCAGGAGTATTCTGCGTTTGAAGTCATGAAGGTATCTGTGGATAGACGTGTTACTCGAAAAGTCGCTTCGCTGTCTGTCGAGAACGGCTTTTGATACATTGTATCTGAAAAGTCAATGATACCTAAGTTTTAACATGCTAGAAAAATATATGTACGAGTTACTAAAACAGACAAAAAGCAAAGAATCAAAATTGAAATTCACTATTTTCGTTAATAGTGCTGTAGCATATCAACTGCATCTGATTCTTCGATCTATTTTTGTAAGCGATTCGCTCAAGAGATGAAGCCTTACTTTGGTTTGGGTTTCAAACGATTCTTGCATTGTTTATATTTCTTAGAGGCACAAAATTGTCTTTCTGCTTCATGCGTTAATAATTAGGTAAGTGCCGACATGCTGCGTGGCCTGCCGTGCTGTAGCCTTACGTGACCGCTCTCGTATCGAAAGTGCCATCGACCGGCTTACCGGCTTGCTCAATATTTTATTAAACGGACGGATTCTTTTACTCATAATAATTAAAGAATCGGTCAATTTATTGTCAAGTTGTCAAGACTATCATCACTTTTGTCCGGGTTTTCATTGATATTATAGTAAAAAAAATTCCAGAGCTGTTTCTACAAATAACATAAAATTTGGTTCCAGAATTTTATTAAGGTTACTGCGTGGATGCATTTCAAGTAATGCCATTTTTACAATAAATTCCATTGATATTAAAATATTACAGTAGAGTCTTCCAACACATGAGAATTAATTCTTTAGTTCCTAACCAAAAACTGAGTGGCAAGTGGATTCTGGTAAGTAAATTTACTGTAAAATTTTCTTGAAATATTTTATGGTGAACACGTCATGACTTCAATTATTTGTGGAAAGAATGTGCGCACAAGAACACCTCTGCGTATCAGGAAGATATTCGCGGAACTGCGGGCTGTAAAAAATTCCTGAGAACATTTGGCGCAGCTGTGCTTTTAAAATTTACACGAGTTATTGAGTCATTGATGTGTTCAAAAGCAAATTCAAATCAAGCGTAAATGTACGACAAATTTCACGTGCCCTAACATTTTACCAGGAAATGAAATGTGGAATTCAATTATTAAGCTGAATAATATTAGTATGCTCTACGAAGAGACAACAGCAAATGCATAAAGAAATATCGTTGTTGTTTAAATGAGCTGAATGAATGGAATCATAAGTTACTGGAAGCTTGTAGGCAATGAAACAACTGGCAATAAGTAACATTAAAATGCAGCTATAAATTCACGAAATTCCTTATTTCTTCAACAATTGGGTGCTGACATTTCCCGGAGACTGGAGCAAGGCCAAGATTTGGCATTTGCGTCCGGCGTTATAAGCAATACGGCGTCCTGATGAAATATTGAAACGCATTTAAAATGTCACCCTTCCCTTGACATCAAGCCTCGGAAAATGGAAAATAGTTGTTTTTCCTGCCGCTAGTGATGAATGGGGCCCAACTGCGTGTCGGAACGATTTAACGACACATATTGGGCGACACATGTTAACGACACACACACTCACTTCTAAATTTTATTTTTTTTAATATCATCTAATACGGTGACGATCAGTTAAAATTATTTTTTCACTTTTGTCCGAGTGAACTAAAGAAGTCATCTACCACGTACATGGTGGTCGTTCTGATATTTGAACGGCTGATTTTTGCCAGTTTATAGTTCAACAATTATTCATTTGGCAATCAACGTCTATCAATATCTGGACTGCACAATTTTCCCGTCATATCCGGGTACGAAGGTGCTTCGAAATGTGTCAATACTCATCCAGCCGGTGAGGTCAATTACCATCAGATAAAAAATTAAATTGAAGTCACTCGCCTGTTAAACTCGCCTTCAAATGATCAAGATGGATAAGCCTATAGCCCCCAAGTCAACAAACTCTAGTTAGCTTCAAGCGTGTCACTACCGTGAAGTTCTAGATTCTTCGGTACACTTCGGCTGCATCGATCAGAAAAGAAGGAAGCACGAAGGCATGGCCTGCATTTCTGTTAGTGACCTGCCATAAAAAGACTGCTGTTCTACGTGCTAAAAGCTCACCCGTACCTAACATAGAAATAACCTAGTACAGAGAATAGTCGTTTGTATGCTACTGCGTGATATCCATTTCTTCTAAGAGCCTAAATATATGAACTAAAATAAATATAACATGACGGAAATGTCACGAGTCCAAGCACGCATTAGAGAATTTTTTTTAATTTGCTGAAGGAAAACAATGTCTGATGAGTTCAGTAATTAACTCAATATCCATCAATGCTGATTAGTACGGCACAAAAGGTAATCTGAAATGCAGTTTCATGACGCCATAATAACACTTCGAATTATCTGATCAGGGACGGCAACGAACTGTGTTCAGACATAACTTAACACGTTGAATGCGTGGGAGCTCAGCCGTAGGCCGCAAATTTTACTCTTAAATAAGCCCTGGAGCTAACGCCCAGCCTCACCATGCATTAACTTTACTCAGCCTCAGAGCTAGAAGCGCAGACTACCCTTGAACACCATACTCCAGACAAGCGACACACTGCCGAAAGATAATAGTGCCGTAGGTTTTAGGCTACTGCATAAGCATGCTCGCTCATAAGCAGGCAGTTCCTCATCCGGCTGTATCTACTCCGGCCTAACCTCTTCTGGCCTAACACATTAACGCTGTCCCGACTCGCAACCTTGTTGCAGCCAATGACTGGCTCTGCCAGCATACTTGGACCGCATTTCTAACTTCCTGCAGCCAATGAGGTTAGGTTAGGTCCGCTCAGGTTTGTTTTGGGTGGAGAATGTTGCAACTTGTGTAGGTTAAGCCTGAAGAGGTTTGGCCAGATGCAGTATGGTCATGCTTACCTTTGGCAAGCTTATTTTGTGGCTGTGGACATCCGGCGCTATGGTTTTGAGCACTTGACTTCATAGGCTGTTATCCCCTCCAGCGTTCTTACCTGCGGAAAGAAATATTAACTAAGTGTGAAGTTTGGCAAAGCTTGCCTCCGGCATGCCCTCTTAATGCGTCACGACCCACCGTTAGGTTGCAGGATCTTTTTTTTTTTTCTGACAAATTCTGCGATTTAGTTTCTTAATTACGTTTTTTGATAAAAATATATGATTGCAGTACTACCTCATATAAATTTTAAAAAGTACGGAAAAGAGGAAAATTTCATTTTTGCCCCAGAACCTATAAATTTACTGGTATATTTTGAATTATAGGCCTTTTTATTCGCAGACTTGGCATTTTTAGGCCATCTGACAGAGTTGGTTTGTCGTGCCGCATTCAACGTGTTAGGGTTTTGTTGGGGAATCAATTTTGTACCACAGCATAAATGACTTTGCATTTCGGATGCATATTTCGGACAAATGATCCGATGATCATTCGGATCATTTGTCTGAATATCTTCTGGACAGCACAATTTTCCCGTCATATTCAGGTATAAAAATGTTTCGAAGTAGCGCTAATGCTCATCCAGCCGGTGAGGTCGCTTACCATCACATAAAAAATTCTTCTTACCATCACATTTAAAATCGATACCTAAGTATCATTAATTATGATATATCCTTACGATATAAACTAATCATTATTCTCCTGAAGTTTATTACCAATGAAAGACTGCTAAAATCTATCATGCAAATCAATACTAAAATTGATAATGAGTTGAACTCAGTAAGGGTAGAAGTGAATGACCTAGATCTTTTCGCGAGTTAAAGGAAAAACACATCTTCTTCGACAACCCTCGATCGTGTGTGTCAACTATAAGACAGTTAATCATGTACTGAGATGCCGGCAGGTGATATTTTCACCATGGTTTGGCTTGTGTCACAAAGTCTCGTTCACTTCTCATGGGGAAAATAATTGAAGAAAAAGCACTCGGGTACCGGTGGTCGATGTCGCAAACACGTACTGAATTTTATATTGGCGTCACCGTGGCGCTAATGCATCACGTTTGGGGCGCTGGAAAACTGGGCAAAACCATCGCGTGGTCTGTAGTTCCATTTTCTGTTAATCTTCCGCACGCAGGGTTGTAATTGTAAAAAAGTAACTTTGCTCCTAATTGTTTTTCCTCGGTTCTAATATATTTTTTTTATCATTGCACAATCGCAATAGTTCACACGCAAATTTTCAGCTCTCTAGCGTCATATTTTGTAGGTTAGAAATAATGTCAGCATGTTCAATGAGAATCATGGGTGACCTCTAGATTAAAACGAATTTCCCAAAATTTCCACGAGTGAAATTTTACTGAAAGTAAAACGCCAGGTCACTGACATATCAGTTACAGTGTCAGTTACACAAACAATTTTGACAAGTATATGCAGCTTTGCAAGACACAACAGGTTTAACGAGCAGGATGTTATTAATATTAGGATGAGACAGAATTTGTGATGTTATTAATATACCTGAGACAGAATTAATGACGTTCCCAAATGAATGACCTAGATCTTTTCGCGAGTTAAAGGAAAAACACATCTTCTTCGACAACCCTCGCTCGCGTGTGTCAACTATAAGACAGTTAATCATGTCTTGAGATGCCGGCAGGTGATATTTTCACCATGTTTTGGCTTGTGTCACAAAGTCTCGCTCACTGCTCATGGGGAAAATTAATTGAAGAAAAAGCACTCAGTGACCGGTGGTCGATGTCGCAAACACGTATTGAATTTTATATTGGCGTCACCGTGGCGCCAATGCATCACGATTGGGGCGCTGGCAAACTGGGCAAAACCATCGCGTGGTCTGTAATTCCATTTTCTGTTAAACTTCCGCACGCAGGGTTGTAATTGTAAAAAAATAACTTTGGTTCTAAGTT